TTGGGTGTGAACACCAACTTTGGGAGATATTGCTTCTCCGGATCAGGTATATTCCTCCCTTTTGCTTTTTGGTTCAGATCTGGTTCGATCATGGTTCAAGTAAGATCCTTGAATATAGTATTCTAAATTCAGGGAATATGATTCCCAGTTGGGAGAAGGTAGGAAAATTTTGAAATTCGCCCACCCATTCCGCAACCTTTTGGCGTCCATTAGATGGATCCTACCATTCTTTCATGAAGTGGATCCACTGAGTGGAGTGGTGGTACAACACCACTTTCCATAGCGCTGCCAGGATGACGCCTTTCAGAGCTCTATATGGTCGGGACCCTCCCCCTCTACTTCCTTATGAAAAAGGAACCACTACAGTAGCAGCCTTAGAAGAACAATTAATACAGCAAGATGAGGTGTTAAAAGAGCTGAGAAATCATCTCTTGCAAGCACAACAATGGATGAAGCGCACTTATGATAAGCATCACAAGAATGTCCAATATGAAGTCGGTGATTGGGTGTTTCTTAAATTACATCCCTTCAGACAGATTTCAGTAGCAAGCCGAAAGTGGAACAAACTCAGCCCGCGCTATTTTGGACCATTTAAAATCCTTGAGAGGATAGGGCCTGTGGCATACAAACTGGACCTCCCGGCAACAACAAAGTTGCATCCTGTATTTCATATCTCCTTGCTGAAGAAAGGACCGAAGCCAAGAGTCATTACAAGTGCTACTCTTCCCACATTTTCAGATGAAGGACAAAGTGCAGACTGAGCCAGCCCGCATCATTGATTTCAGATGGGTACAACGTGGAGGAAGAGTCATTCCAGAAGCACTAGTTGTTTGGCCTAAACTTCCAGAAGAGGACGCCACCTGGGAATCTTATTTGGATCTGCAAACAAGTTTTCCCACATTAGAACTTGAGGGCAAGGTCTCTCTAAAGGAGGGAGGGATTGTAAAGGCTGCTGAAACAGAACAACAGAAAACAGTTAGTCAGTTTTACAAGAGAAGGCCACGTCAGCACAACAGCTCAGCTAACTGACCATCCACTTGCAGCGGTTTTAACAGAAACAAATTAAAGAATGTAAGAAGAGGAGCTCTGTAAAACAGTATAAATAATCAAAAACAGAGAAAATAAGGGGATCGATCTTTCAGCATTATTTCTTCTCTCTCTCTCTCTCTCTCTCTCGAACTGAGGAGGTTGGCTCCCTCGAAGAGCCCTGTGTTAGGCAGGTTCCTAACAGATTGAATCAGGTTGGCAGCAAGCCCTAAAACCTTTGCCAAACTCTCATGTCATGAATCCTAATTTGTCTAATCATGAACATTGAAATCCCTCCTATATACCAAGGGCCTGCTGAAAACCTCTTATAGAGAATAATTCTTCCCATAGTTCTTCCCTTTCCCCATAAGAGTTGTTCACAAATACTGGTAACCACCCATGCAAACCAATTGTCTACTATTCTCGTTCACAATTCTATAGAGCTTTGTTCTTGCTTCAAAGGTTTATAAGAGAACATCCATTAAAGTTAATCTCTACAACACCCTGAGAATGGGGGACCTGCTTCTGACCAATGTACAGCCTCCTCATTAATGAGCTGTCAATCGAGTCAATATACCAACTTCTAACATATTGAAGAAAACCCTCCAAAAATTTAGGACCAACAACAAGGAAAAGAATGTGTACTAGCTACAGAAAGAATGAACCAAACAGTTTAATGTCTTCAGGATAGATAGAACATCATTAACTTCAACTTTCCTTCACAACCCAGTAATTCTGGAAACTTTTAAAGAAAACCCTTCAAAAAATTTAAAATTACGACTAAAAACATGGAAAGGAATGCATACTCTCCATCAAGCTGTGAAATCAGTGCTTCAAATGTTGCTCGCCTTCGCGGATCCTTTCTTGCATGCCTTCCAGCAATAGCATCAATTTCATCTACAAATACAAATGATGGTGCCTGCAAAAAGAATATTAGTGCTCTGAGTCTAATAAGAGTCACTCAATACATTTGAAATAACCAGAACCCAAGAATACAAAATTTAAAAGACTTTGAAGATGGAGACATTGCAAAAGGAATAAACTCATTGTCAGTCAACTGCAATAGCATAACCTTGGGATTGAAACTTTCAGAAGAGACCTAATATTCCATTAATTGAATTTACAGTTGAATAGGTTGGATTGGCCTTATTTGGATGGGAATGTAGTTGATTTTCTGGAAAGAAAGTTTGAGGTTGAGGTGATAAAAAATGCCATATTCTTAATTAAGAATGATCTTGTTCAAATTTTCGATGAATCCTATGAAAGGAGTACAATAAACCCAAGACTCAATGCTCCTATCTTAGTCGTGATCCCTAAAAAACTGGAGGATGCATGTCCTAGGGAGCTTAGACCAATTAGTATGGTGACTAGTTTGTACAAGATAATTGCTAAAGTACTCTCACTAAGAATCAAGGTTGTAATTCCTTCCATAATTATACAATTCTAAGGAGCTTCTACTCAGGATAAGCAAATTGTGGATCAAATTCTGATCACCAATGAATGTGTGGAGGAAAAGAGAAGGTCTGGAGGCAAAGGGGTAGTTTGCAAGTTGGATGTTGAGAAAGCCTATAATTTAGTAGATTGGTCTTGATAGAGGTGATGAAAAAATGTGGTTTTGGGGATAATTGGTGTAAATGGATTTTTGGGTGTCTTCAAACTTGTCATTTTTCATTGCTAGCGAATGGAGTGAAAAGAGAGTTTTTCCCTGCATATAGAGAACTCAAACAAGGGGACCCTTTGTCCCCTTTCCTTTTCACACTCCTTGTAGATGTGCTCAGTAGGTTGATTTCAAGAGCTAATAGGAAGGGCCTGATTAGAGGGTGGAGGATTAATAGTGTTTTGTGATGATAACAACAATCAACAGTTTAGAAATTTGAGAAGTTTCTTGATGCTCTTTGAAAAGATGTCATACTTAAGAATAATTTTGAGAAGAGCTGTGTAATGGGGATTAGTATGGAGGAAAGTGAATTAGAAGCAGCTGCTAATGTCTTCAGATGCTCAACTAGTTTTTGGCCTATGAAATATTTGGGTCTACCTTTAGGAGGCACTCCTAGGACTATTAGCTTCTGGAATCCTATTTTAGAAAGATTTGGGAAAAGACTAATGGCTTGGAAGTGTAATTATATCTGCATGGGTGGAAGAATAACTCCAATCAAGTCCACATTGGCCAACCTTCCAATATATTACCTCTTGGTTTTTAAAATGCCAAAAAAAAGTAGCAAATAAATTAGAGAAATTCATGAGAGACTTCTTGTGGGAGCCAGAAGAGGGAAAGAAGGACCACTTGGTCAAATGAGAAATAGTCAGAGGAAGTAAGAACCAAGGAGGTTCGGAGATGGGAAATGTTGTGTCCAAGAATCTATTTTCTCAGATAAAAATGGCTATGGAAGATGCCCATTGAGAATGGAAAGTCCTGGCATAGGGTATTAGCAAGCATGTGCAGGATGATGACGGCTGGAATGTTGGTATATCTCCTCGGGCTACTTTGGTTTCTCCTTGGAAAGTTATTCACGATATTCTTCTTTAAGTTCCTAAGCTCTGACAAGTATGATGTCTACTCAGGGAATAAAGTTTTACATTGGGAAGATCATTTGCCCCTCAAAGATGATTTCTCAACTCTTTATTCTGTATCACATTCAAGAAAAAGCCTATTTCAAACTTCTATTCTTTGGCCGATGATTGATTGGGATTTGGGATTACAAGAGCATTGAAGAGCATGAGTATCATCAAGTTGTTGAGTTTTTAAAAATTCTTGAGAGAGTTGTTTTAGATCTTTATAAGCCTAAGGAAGGATTTGGGCACCCAACCCTAAGGGACTTTTCTCCTGTGCTTCTTTCTTTTGGGTCCTTGTTTCTTTAGATGTCCCTTCTTCTTTTCCTATTCAGGAAGTCCAGTGTAAGCATGTCCCATTAAAAGCTAAGGTGTTTTGCTAGGAGGTTTTTCATGGAAAGATTAATACTTTGGATGTGTTGCTAAAAAGAAGAAATGCTTGCTTGTTCTCAAACTGGTCCATACTCTGCAAGGCTAATGATGAAACTGATTACCACCTATTAATCTCCTCTTCATTTGTTACCTACTTACCTGTTTTTGGAAATTGTTTTTCTCTATATGGGTGCAAATGGACTCTGCCTACGAGCTTGGCCAGTTTGTTTGAGGCTGGAACCTTCAGACGACTGAGGAAAAGAGGAAGAATAATGTGGAGATGCACTAGGGCTGTTGTGTTATGGACAGTATGGGAAGAAAGAAATGTAAGAATAATTTATCAAAAAAAAAAGAAATGTAAGAATATTCAATGAAAAAGAAAGAAGCATAGAAATGATTTTTGAGTGTATCATTGAAACAGTAATTCATCCCATAAAGCCAATATACCTCTTCTCACCTTTTACATATGAACCTTGTGAAGGAAAGAGGGGGGGTGGCTATATCCTCAACCAAGGAAGAATAAAATTCAAAAACAATGGGAACCACATGAAGATAGGCTCATAAAACTAAATTTTGATGGGAGCAATTTTGGAAACCCAAGCCTCCCTCAGGTGTGGAAGGGGGTTTTTGGGGATAAAGACTATAATATATTAGCTTTTTTTCAAGGGCCATGTTAGTTTAGGGGACTCTACAAGAGCTGAACTCCTTGCTATCTTATATGGAGTACAAAAAGGCAAAAGAATTGAACCAGGGGAGTAGTTTTTAAAGAAGACTCTCAGTTGGTGAAAGATGAGAAGAAAACTGTGTATGCACGTGTGGAAAAGCTCCACAAGTAAGGAGAAAAGTGTAAAGAAAAAGTACCAAATATAGACAAATCACTCCAAAATATTCAAGTTTAATATTCACAAAAAGAGACCAATATACTATGGAAGATATTTTGTCTACCATTAACACATGCAACTGAAACTTATTTGGCATAGTTAGGAATCACTAGATGAAATTTTGCACTACAGACCAGAAACAATGGTCCTTACATTTCTCCTTGCAATAGAAAATATTTCATTAATCCTTGCTGCACCACTTTTTTCACTATCAGTGAACTCTGCACCGGAAGCAAAAACAAAAGGCATTCCACTCTCCTTTGCAAGTGTCCTTGCAAAAAGTGTTTTGCCTGTTCCAGGTGGCCCAGATAAAAGAACACCCTGGCATGCATGTAAACATAAAAGTTAGATTACAGTTAATAGAACATGCAGATTTCAGCTCATCTCCAATAAGGAATCCATCTATCAAGAAACTAGAAGAGATTACCCGAACAAATTTGACTTCTTTCTCATAGTACTGCATGGGGTTTCCCATATAAATCATCAACTCATCCAGCAGATCCCAAACGTCACCGCCTAATACTACTTCTTTATACATGGATTTTGTTTCTCCAGAATCTCCTTCTGGCTGAAAGACAACAAGGAACTCAAGTATTATCCTAATAACTGAAACCAAAGCCTCCAATTGAGAAATCGAAATTTTACCAGGATAAAGTTTTCCGCATAAGCCATATCAAAGAGTTGGTTATATTTCTTGTAGAGGTAACGCCTTGATGTGACATGTAAGAGCATCACAGACTCCCTAATAAGCCACAGGATCAGTATTCCAGGAATCAATGCAACAACAACACGAAGAAAATAATTGATTTGCCGCTTCTGAAGGAGATCCACCTCTACTCCAGAACTCGTGATAATTTCAAACAAGTATGGATCAAGGGGAATATCAACCTACAGAAGATTTACCATAAAATGTTAAGGATTCAATGGATCAAACAAGGAATATCCTGGTTTAATTCTTCCACTAGAAATAACAAACTTGAGAAGAAGAAGAAGAAGAAGAATGATATTAGACTCACAACATATTCTAAAGGGAACCCTTCTTTCATTGTAATATATAATTTCTTGAGGTCCTCAGAAAAGACAACAGCAGCAACCTGATCAAAAAGAAGAAATCATATATTTCCTTCTTTTGTTGGCTAATGGAAGAGGCAGCATAAAAATGAATAAAGAAAGAAAATATATAAAGCCACTATACACTCCAATGTATTAAGTAATTATAGCAGAGTTTGTTTGCATCCCTTATTCAATGCAAGATAAGAATACACACTTGAACAGAGATATGTAACATACCTATACAAGTTATGTATTTGGGTAGTCATGTATAGAATGCAAGCTACATATTACATGCAGTTATCTATCGTGTATGTTAAGTCCACCAATCGTGTAATAGGTCTGTAATGCACACAGATAATTGGAAGAATTTGTGGAAATAATCTAAACATTGTACAAACATCAATTCACTCCCAATTGTTCTAATGACTGGAAAAGAAAATCACAGTCAACCCCTCTTAAGTCTATGCTAAGTTGGAGATTATAAAAAGCACATTATAGCAACTAGCTTTTACCTCAGAACAATCAAGTTTGTGAAGAAAATAAGTATATGGAAGCTTTGGACGGTAGCGCCACCATCTTTTAGAAATCCACAATGCCCTAGTGCCTTGTGTACTTGACAGCTTTTCCACCACGTCTTTCTGAAGACTCTTCTCAACTTCTTGCAAGTCAAAGTCAACTACATACTTAGCACTTAAAAAATCTAATTGCTCAGCAAACTTATCCTTTCTGAGAATTTCTCTCCATGCATGAAGCCTTTCACGCCATGTTTCCCTAATTTCTTTTTCCTCCCCTGTCAAGCAAGCATGGATAGATTAGCAGCAAGCAACAAAGATGTTGACTTGGATATTTAACACACTTCCATAAGAAATAGAGAAGATAACCCTTTGGTTAGGTGATCATAATTCATAAGTTCCCAAATGTAAGATTATAATGACTTGAACGTATTCTCACATGCCACAGAATCTTTAGAAATTTTTCACAAGAATGATCTGAACTTCTGGACTTCGGATCAGAGGTAACATCGGTAAGACAAATAATGAAAGATAAAATTTTATTAATATCAAAAGAAAGGAAAATACAAACTGATGAGGAATAACCAATAAACAAACAAAATGTCAGCAGCCCATCAACCCACAAAAGAAACAAGAGAAAAACAACAAAACACAGGCATCCTAACTCTCCCATATACAAATTCCAATGTATACCAGAAAACGTTTTCTAACATACAACTTTCTACCTCACTAAAATCCTTAACAGCCTTTGCCCACTCCAGTAGAGACACTAGAATATGCAAAGAAGTACCTTTGCTACAGGTCACAAGACAGTACACCTTTATATTCTCAAGTCTTGTTTTTTTTCCTTTCTGTAATCAACTTTAAATTGATCTTAGAACCAAAAGAAAAATAAAGGAAAAGGATTCAGAAGCAGGGAAAAATTAAGAGAATAGAAAGAATAGAAGAGAAGAAGGATAGGGTATGACATGATAGAAGATCCTAACTGATCTCTCATAACTGCTCCTTCTTATATTAATATTATAATAAGTGGTGAAATTACAATGCTGCCCTTGATTAAGTAAAAGAATAATAAATCTACCACCGCATACTGCTATCACTCCCCGTCAAGCTGGAGTATAAATGCCATAGAGCTCCACCTTGACATCCTACTCTTTCTTTCTTCTCTTTTCTTCTCTACAGCCGAAACTCTTCATCTTCTTCTTCATTCTCTTCACAATGAATTCATCTAGACTTCCAAACAGTGATTTCTACTTGATTTTAGAGCAGGCCAAAGGTTCCTTGATCTGTTTTCTCATGCAGCCCTAGATCAGCCAACTGCATGGTGATTTCAGAAACTGATCAAAGATCCCAGGTAAGCCCAGTTTTTGGATTTTTTGGTGGATCTGTTTTGCCCTGTAGCTGGTCTAGGGTTTCCCATCAAAATCAGGAGAAACTAGAGAAAGGGGGAGATTCCGGTTTCTGTTGAACTCTTCAGTTTTGACCTAGGAAGCGGCGCCCTAATTTTTTAGGGTTCCTTGGAGTTCTCTATAGGGGGCGGTTCAAGTCCTGCCTGATTTGGAGGTTTCTAGAGAGAGCAGCTGCCTCTTCTCTCTCTTCTCCCGTCTCGTAGAAAAAGAATCTTTTGTGGGAGGACCATCTAGGGGCACCAGAAGGGTGTCGTTGGTACCAAAAGTGATTTATTTGATATTCTTGCATATTACAGTAATCTTCTATCCCCTTTTTGAGAAGTATGGAGGGTAACGGAGTTAAAAACAAGCCTGGGAGTGAAATAAGACCAGTGGGAGGAGGTGTTGGAGACCTTTTCGGGGAATGGGACCATTACTACAGTTAATTTGGATGGTTCAAATTACATTGAATGGTCACAATCTGCAAAGATGGACATTGGTGCTCGTGGGAAGTTAGGGGATATCACTGGTAAAGATGGACTAGCAGCTCCCAGTGGGTACAGGAGAACTATATGGTGATGACTTGGCCATGTAATTCCATGCTGCCCCATATAAGTAAAAACTTTTTGTGGGCAAATACAGTTAAGGAACTATGGGATGGGGTTGTAGAAACCTATTCGCAGAGGGAGAATGTTGCCAGGACTTATCAGTTGAGAAATCAGATTATTGCTACAAGGCAGGGAGATAGACCTATTGTCGTTTACTTTTCAGCCCTTAAAACCCTGTGGCAGGAGATTAACCATTTGGAGACAGTTGCTTGGAAAACCACTAAGGATGCAGCTGCCTACCAAAAGCTCCAAGAGAAGTATAGGGTGTTTGAATTTCTTGTTGGCCTTAATCCCAAACATGATATTACAACACAACACATTCTTTCCAGGGACAATGTTACTCTCTCCCAAGCATATGCCTTTCTGTTAGGGGAAGAGAGCAGGAGAAATGTAATGATGAAAAATTCTGGGTTTAATCAATCAGCCATGGTTAGCACTATGAGACCTAAACAAGGTGGAGACCGGGGTGGCAGTGAAATCAATAAGGAAGACAAAAGGGATTTGATCTGTGACTACTGTAAGAAGCCTAAACACACAAGAGATACTTGTTGGAAGCTTCATCCCCATCTTGTGCCAAATAGACTCAAAAATAAGAAGGGAAAAGCTCACATGGCAGTCACTGGTGACATACCTGGCCTTCTGGAGTCTGTTGCAACTGCTGCAGTGAGGGGCGAACTTGAGAGATATGAGCAGTTCCTGAATCAGCGGGGTACAATCAGTTCTAATTAAGTAACAGGTGGACAACTTGGTAAAGGTGGTTCTAGTGGAGCACACTCTACTTCCTTTGCTCACACAGGTAGTTCACATGCCACTACAAACTATGTTTCTACTACAGGTAAGGAGGGACCTCCTTGGATTATAGACTTCGGAGCCTCAGAGCACATGACCCAAAGTTCTACTATCTTTTCTTCTTCCAACTCTTTTCTGGTAGAGACAGAGTCTCCACAGCTGATGGATCTCATGTTCCCATTGCTGGGAAGGGGTCTGTCAAGATTAATGATTCCATTTCCCTTCCCTCTGTCCTTCATGTTCCCAGATTGAATACTAACTTGTTATCTGTAAATAGTTTGACTAAGAACCTGAATTGCTCAGTAATTTTTTCTCCTGGTCATTGTGTTTTGCAGGATCTGCATTCAAAGAGGACAATTGGGAGTGGTCGTGAAGTGAATGGGATCTACCTCCTAAATGTGATTCCCAATCATTAGGGTCATCATGTCAACAAGGATGGTGAGTTGGGGTCTGTAAGTCAGATTATGCTTTGGCATAATCGGTTGGGTCATTTGTCCTTTTCTTGTTTGAGTTTCTTATTTCCAAAACTTTTTGAGTCTGTTAATTTGTCCAGTCTGGAGTGTGAAGGTTGTCAGCTTGGAAAACATTGTAGACGATCCTTTAAAGCTAGTAATAAAAGATGTTCATCTCCTTTTGATGTTATTCATTCTGATGTGTGGGGACCTTATCATGTTCCTTCTATGCGTGGTTATTGATAATTTCTCTTATTTGTGGATGATTTCTCTCGATATTATTGGATTTACTTAATGAGATCCCGAGTGAGATGAGGTGCCTTCCTTGGTAAGGCAATTTCATCAGATGGTGCTAACACAGTTTGGAACACAAATAAAGGTGTTCAACACAGACAATGCCAGGGAATATTTTGAAAAACACCCTGCTTCATATCTGTTAGAATATGGTGTTGTCCATCAGAGCAGTTGTCCATACAGTCCACAGCAGAATAGTGTTGCAGAAAGGAAGAACAGACACATTGTTTAGATTACAAGAAGCATGATGATCACATCTACAGCTCCAGTTTGGTTTTGGGGTGATGCAGTTCTCACAACAACATTTTTGGTTAACAAGGTGCCCTCCCGTATACTTGGATTCAGCACCCCATTCAGCCTCCTTTTTCCTAAGGGGGAGATGTTCCATATTCCTCTCAAAGTATTTGGGTGTGTTTGCTTTGCACATATTCTTGGTCCTCACTGTTCGAAGCTTGATCCGAAGGCAAAGAAGTGTGTCTTCCTTGGATATGCAGAAAATCAGAAAGGGCACTGTTACTATGATCCAATCTCTGAGAGTCGGTATGTTACTATGGATGTCACTTTTTTTGAGTCCACATACTTCTTCTAGAAGAATCCTTCTCAAGGGAGTGTTTTGGGGAAGTGAGTGAGCAATCTATCCCTCTTTCAATTCCAGTTCCTGTGTTTACTCCTGTGCTTGATCCTCCTATGTCACCAACCTTACCACCTCCCTTACATCCTGCTTCTCAGCATTACTCACGACAGAGACTTCACAGGGAGGTTGATTCCACTGCAGCAAAACTCACATCACTTCCTATCGGTTCCTTGGAGACTCCAGATTCAACTGATACGGATTCAAGTATTCATCATGATCCCTCTACTGTTTCAGTTCCCATTGATTCTACTAACCCCATTACAGATAACCTGGACCTCCCTATTGCTCTTAGAAAAGGGAAGAGAAAGTGTACTGCTCGTTGTATTTCACAGTAATCCTATTTATCAGAATCACTGAATTAATGCATCAGAAGGTGAGCAAGTAAAGTACATTGGGAGATATCAGAGACTTGTGGGGCGGCTGCTATACTTGTGTATGACAAGACCAGACATTTCCTATACAGTAAGTGTGGTAAGTCAATATATGCATGCTCCACGAGTCCAGCATTGGGAAGTTGTTGACAGGATTCTTGCTTATCTGAAGGGACACCCGAGCAGAGGCATATTGTTTGTTGATCATGGACAGTTGAAACTAGAGGCTTATACAGGTGCAGATTGGGCAAGATGCCTTGATGACAGGAGATCTACTTCAGGAGTATGCACCCTTGTTGGGGGTAACCTTGTCTCGTGGAAGAGTAAGAAACAGACAGTGGTGACAAGATCAAGTGCTGAAGCTGAATATAGGGCCATGGCACATGGAGTTTCAGAACTTCTCTGGATCCATTCCCTGTTAGGAGAGATTGGTGTACAAGAAGAACATATGATGTTGTACTGTGATAACCAGGCAGCAATCAACATTGCCCATAACCCAGTTCAGCATGACCAAACAAAGCACATTGAAGTGGATAGACATTTCGTCAGAGAAAGGGTGACTTCTGGGGAAGTTTGTCTCCCATACATTGCTTCTGATTTGCAACTTGCTGATGTTCTCACAAAAGGTGTTTCAAGGAACAAGCTGGAGCATGATCTACGCAAGTTGGGAATGTGTGACATTTACTCCCAACTTGAGGGGGAGTGTTGAGTTGGGCCGATTTCTAGTTATTGGGCCCAGTTA